TGTCATTGTGTTATTGATCAAGAATAACAAACAACGCGATACCTGTTACATTTAAGTTTTTTGAATGAAAAAAAGTAAAGCATGCAAATGTGAGTATTAAAATGGGAGTGCACCTTTTGGCTTTAAATGAGAGGAAATCGAGGGAAGATAGAGCGGAGATATGCCGCGCTAGCAACTAGGGACCAAATCATAGGTGCCTCAAAAAGTTTATAAAATAAACATATTCAATTCTTAAAAAAAACAAAATTCATGTTCAATTAATTAAAGCTATAACTTGATTGCCAAACACCAACCATGCACACGGCTTTGCTTCAATACTAGTCTTCTCTCTCTCTCTCTCTCTCTCTCTCTCTCTCTCTCTCTCTCTCTCTCATGCGTATATAAATATATTTATGAAGCATAATAATGGTGTTGATTTTGTTGGTTCTATATATATATATATATATATATATATATTCATATATCTTGTGATATATAGCTCAGTTTACAGAGATATATATATTTCAGCCATAGTTTGTCGAGTGAAGATGGAACAGGTATAGAAGTGCTATCGATGGTTTGATGAGGTCAGTTTAATTTCAACCTTAATTCTTCATTTGAATTTCCTCATTTCATATGCATCTGCAAGTTTACGATATCGATAATAATTTTCATGTTTGTTTGCAAATTGTGTTGTCATGGGATACTGTCTGCAGGCTGATTTTATGAGAATTCTTTGCATCATATAACTACATTAAAACAACAATGATGAGAAGAATTAAATTGTATTAATCTCTCTGTTTATCTTATATATGCTGAGAAGAACAAAGTGAAAGAAGAAGAAAATATACAAGTTTTTGAGAAAAATTAACCTTATATGTAAATTGATCGTAGTTAGTACAAGCAATTGCAAAGTCTATTATAAACGCACTTGCAATTATTGAGTGAAGTTAGGGATATCACATTTATGTACTACATACATCTAATCGAGACGAAACCCACCTATACAATCGGTGCCATTCTTATTATGAAGTGGCATACCATGTGTTACATAATATGTTCTCTCATTTTTAACTGTCTCATTTAAAAAACAAAAAGAGCGGAAAAATAAAGGGAGTTTCACTAAAACACCCAAAATGGGGGCTGAAATTATAAAAAAACCCAACACCCAAAACACTTTATAAACACACCAAAAATCCATCATTACACACACTCAAAACCCATTTATAAACACACCCAAAAAATATACAATTGTTGATTTTGGGTGTATTTCTATGTTTAAATAGTGCTTGAGTTTTTTTATAAATGCATGTCTAAAATTGGGTTTATTTATAAATTTGTAAAAAATAAATTGGTATATCAAGATTAACTCCTCTTGCAAGTTGTATTTTCTTCGTTTTCAATAAGTGTATTTGCTTCTTTGATTCCTAGAACTTAGGTCCCGTTTGGTTCATGGGAAATGAGGCTTGGGAATGGGAATTCAATTGCTTTCCCATGTTTGGTAAGTTCAGACATGGGAAATAGTTGCCTGACATATGAGAAAGTATGGGAGAAAGTGAAGTCCTCCTCTTAACTTGGGTTTTGTTTTCTCTCCTCATGGGAAAGTTTGGGAAAATGAGCCAACATTCAATGCACAATTTTCATGACTATTTTGTCCCTATGAACAATTTATAATTACAATGTATCATTAAATGCATTTTTTTAATTTTTTTTAATTTGATTTAATATGGGTATAATTGGAAAATTATACAAACTTTGTTTTCCATTCCTACTCAAAACAAATATGGGAAAGGAAACAAAGTGAAATCTCTCGGTTATTTTCCTGACATTACCAAACGTGGGAAAAGAATCTTTCATTTCCATTCCTTGGGAAATGATATGGAAAATGATTTCCCCTCAAATCCATTCCGTGAACCAAACAGAGCCAAAGAGTAGCAACTAGAAGAGTAGAATATACATAAAAGAGCGTAGGAATTAGGAATTCAAATTGCTCTCCAAGTTTCCTGGCACTAAGCTTAAGATGGTACAGTTAATATTTAGAGATATTTAGTGATATACCCATTCTTAGCACTAATATTATAAATAAACCCTACTCCATTGAATTTTTATAAACAAACCCAAAAAATAACATCTGGCTTTATTGAATTTAATATTAATTATTAAATTACTTTGATGCCTATTGATGTTTTGGGTATTTTTATGAGATTTCGAGGTTGGGCTTGTTTTAAGACATTGATGACAGTTTTGTAATTTATAAGAAGTTAAAAGCCTCTTTGTTATGTTGTAAATGAGCTTTGGGTGTGTTTATAAAATCCATTTTATATGTGGTATTTTTATAATTTGGGCCCCTATATTGAGTATAATAGTGAATCTCCCTAATATTTAATGTAGTGTTAGAGTAAAACAAATGGACATTGTGGACGTGTATACTATAAATTTGTCCACCTGTCATAGTTTTTTTTCCTCGATAAATAATATGTTAACCAAAGAGGTCAAAAGCCATTTACAAACAAACTTAGAAAAACCAAAACAAGAAGAAAAAAAAAGCCTTAATAGAAGCACTAGACCGCAAAGAAACATTTGTCATAGTTTTGTCAAAATATTGGTATTTGGGAAATATTTTAGTATGCATTAATTTCTTTAAGGAGGTAAATATAAGTTTACTCAACAATAAAGGTCAACTCCGTGTGAGTTTGATGTTGTTGTTAAATTTCTCTGTATTAGTTTGTAATTTTTTGTGAGTAGTTGTTTTGACTCTCGTAGCTATTGTATTTGTATTACCCTTGTGACATGCCGCGTGATTAATGAATACAATCTCTATGTTGTTTGTCAAAAAAAATAAAAACCAATAAAGGTCAATTGAGGGTGTATTCTTATGGGAATTTGAGGTACCAATATGGCTTGTGGAAGTGTTAACTTAGTTTCTTTTTGAAAAAGAAAATAGTAAAGGTTTAAATTAATCCTAATTACACAAGAACCTACACAAACAAATCTCCTAATTAAACCTAATTCACACACGCCAACACCATTAGTTCCACTTTCGTGCAACATTCCTTCGGTAGGTCTACATACATATGGCAACTTTAAATAGAGAGAAATTGGTCTCAGAGAAACAGATAGAGTTGTTTGTTTGTTTGTTGTTGTAATGTGGAGACCTAAGGTGAGGTAGGTAGTAGACGCCTGTCAGTAATAGGCTCTCAGTTTTGTTGTTGTTGTGAGGAATCGCTTTCTTTCTCTGGGGACTTATTATGGAGGGCACTAGCTGAGCTGAGGAGCTATTGAGCCATCTTGTACTTTTAGCCACCAGCAGTTGTCTTTTCTTATACAGTGGCTACTAGCACTAGTTGTGGTTGCATGTGAGCCCTTCTCATGGAGGAAAACTTCCCTATCTAGATTTCATTGCTCCATTATTTCTCTCTTATTTTTCGTGTCACTTATAAAAAAAGGTGGATAAGAAAAAAGTGTAACGAAACGAGGTTATATTGCTCCATTTTTCATATTTTTCTTCCCGTGTCACTTATCAAAGAAGAAGAGAGATAGAAAGAACATGACATTCGTTGAAAAGAGAGATAAAAAGAACACGACAACCAAACAATTCTAGCCTCTAGGGAAAAAGTATTTATCCTTCTCATCACACAACGTGTATGCTTTGTTTTGTGTTCTTCTTTTTGTCTTGTTATTTTATTAAGGCTTTGTGTAATGCTGTTTGTAATTTAATTGTGGCATTAAGTTAATGCTTTTGGCAAGTCCCAAAATATAAAGCAGAATTTACAAACATTAGACAACCCAATCCCAATTGTACTGTTTATATTTTATATTGTTTGACTTCTTACACTTATAACTTTATAGGGTCACTAATTGTATTACATGCACTCAAATTTGACATCTTTTTTCTTCTTTCTCAATTGGGTTTTGAATTTACCGTTAATTGGGTAGTTTAGATTGACTAATTTCATCATATGGGTTTCATACTGAATGCTCTGCATTAATTCTCCATTAATCTATAATTTACAGTTAAGTTTTCAGATTAACCTGAGCTTCCTAAACTACAAAAATTTACACACAAAAACCATTCTTAATTGCCTTGCCTCCCTCTCTTAATCTCCATAAGATTTTACAGTTTGCATTTGTTGGTACTTTTGCAGAGATTGTTGGGTAGTTTTTAGGCTAAAAGAACAAACCAAAAAGTAGAGTGGCTGCAGCACAAGCACAAGCAGAGGTTATTGTTTCCCGGGCCACGCCGCTCGTGTTTATTGCTTTGCTCCTCCTGCGCCTTGAAACCCTTCACTTGACTTGAGAGTTGAGATCTCGAGGCCAGCCTTTGGACTTGGCCTCCAAAACTGACAAGTGTTTGCGGCCTTTCCTTCCTCCGCCATTTTCTCTGGTAAACCAACCCCTCATAGCATTTGGCTATTGGGTTCAATACAAAGCACTTGAGAGAGGAGATTTTGGGTTTGTTTTGTATGCGCTCGAAGGTGTGAAAGCTGGCCTTTTCAAATATATTGCATTGCCCACCACAATCACAGGAGGGTCGGCTATATTCAACAATATCACTCTTGCTTTGCATTCAAACCGAGGTATAGTCTTCGAACCTTGAATTCAGCTTTGGTCTCTTTTCTGCATTTGAATATTTGTGCCATTTCCGGATTTTTTGTATGACATTTTCATTTTTTTAAATATTCTATTGCTTTTAGTATTTGGGTAAGTGTATATATGTATTTATATATTATTGGTGTTTTAGAACATGCCAAAAATCGGTTGGCTATGGTGGTTCTTATTTTAGAGTTGGTAGTTGGTTCCTCGTACTTATCCATGCTTGTTTATTTAATATTCAGTTGAATTACTTGCTGTGGATGCCTCATTGTGTTTGCATAGTTAAGGAGAAAAACTCGGTCCGTGAATTGAGGGCTTTGGTGGGTTTTAAAGGGGTTCTAAGTAGTTTGTTTGATTTGCCAGCAGCTGGAGGGAGTGTTAGAATATAGTGTTTTTTTTATGTGGATTATTGGTCTTAAGTGAGAGACATGCTGAGCTCTGATGATGGAGAAAATGATGTGTTCTTCGACTCGGTGGACTTGTCATCTCAAGAGTCAATTGTAGCAAAAGAGGAACCGGGGTGTAGTAAGTTGGAGTATGAAATTTGGATGAATGAGCCACCAAGTGTTAAGGAAAGACGGGAGAGTTTTCTACGAAAGATGGGTTTAGCTGAGTTTGATTCTGCAAAGTGTGGTTCTGTGGAGATGGAAATGGAATCTGGTGCCTCATCAAAGATGATGGGATTGCAAAGACTTTTGGAATGCAGTAGAGCTGCCTCAAGCTCTTGCATCTCTTCTTCTAGTTATATTGAAGAAAATTTGGGTTGTTGTAGAAGGGAAGGGGACAATCAAGCAAATCTTATGCAGAATGAATTAGATAGAAACCTACAAGATAAGTTGAATATAGTCTCCATCCAGGAGGCTGTTCGTATTATTTCACCTTCTGCTACAGATTCTTCCCAGAGAGAAGTTGAGGCTCCAGTAGAAGAATGTGGGAATTCACATGAGGGTAGAAAGAAGAAGGAAAGTTGGTGGAAACAGTTTATAAACAAGACAAAGAGAAGAGGAGGGAAAGTTGTATTTGAGGGATCAAAACCAGATACTGAAATACTCAAACAAAATAGGATGAAGGTCCAGCAGAACAGTAAGAGGTGTATGGAGTTCGCTGCATTATGCAATGGGCAAGAAATTCATGCGCACAAGGGGTTTATAGGGGCTATGAAGTTTAGTCCTGATGGCCAATATCTTGCAACTGGTGGTGAAGATGGGGTTGTACGCCTTTGGTGTGTTACATTAACAGATGCCTCTTGTAATTACTTACCAGCTGAAGGCAACTTTGATAGCAAACTTAAAAAGATCAAGTCTGGTTATCGAGTGATCTTTCCTGATAAGGGTTTTCGAATTGAAGAGTCACCGCTGCAAGAGTTCCATGGCCATTCAAGTGATGTGTTAGATCTTGCTTGGTCAAATTCAAATGTGAGTGCTGAAACATTACTTATTTAGTTGACTCGTATTTGATCATATTTACAACTCTTTAGTTCAGTTTGTGATTGATTCAATATATATGCTCCATTGCAGTGTCTTCTTTCTTCTTCAATGGATAAAACTGTTCGTCTGTGGGAAGTTGGTTGCAGTCAGTGCCTAAATGTTTTCCATCACAATGATTATGGTAAAGATTCAAATCGGAACATACATACATATATATTAGTGCTCCCTCAAATTTTAATGTGATGTAATATTCTGAAATTTAATTCTGTAACTTTTTAAATGGTACCAGTGACATGCATTCAGTTCAACCCTCTCAATGACAATTACTTCATAAGTGGATCAATTGATGGAAAAGTTCGAGTTTGGGGCCTTTTTGAGAAGCGAGTTGTTGATTGGGCTGATGTGCGAGATGTTATAACTGCTATATGCTATCAACCAGATGGGAAAGTATGACTCTTAGTACTTGATTAGCCATGATTTTATTACACTGCTACGAAAATCTCCTTCATGATGTTAACCATATCAATTTCTTCTGTACAAGCAGGGGTTTGTAGTTGGTTCCGTTACAGGCACTTGCCACTTCTATGAATTATCAGGTACATAAACGTTGGATGTTATCTTATTGTTGAATTTGAAGTGTTACATTTTTCTCACTTGTGGAGTTCCTAAACTGATTTTGTGGATGGACAGGGGAATATCTTCAACTGGCTGTGCAAATGCATATTCATGGTAGAACTAAAACCTCTGGCAACCAAATCACTGGCATCCAGGTATTGCACTTGAAAACTTTTCTACTTCATTTCTTCCTCTCTCTCTCTCTCTTTTTCTTTTCTGCTAAGCTTCCATAAGATGCTACGTTTCTAAATCATTCATTAACATTAAGAGTCATTTTCTCCCAGTTTTCCCAGGAAAAGTTGCAAAGAGTTATGATAACATCAGAAGACTCGAAAATCCGTATATTTGAGGGAGTAGAACTTATAAAGAAATACAAAGGTAAAGAACCTTATGACCATGAGACTATTACTGTTGATTGTTGTATTCTTCCAATCAAATTGATTAACATGCAATTGATAACCCTCAATTTAAATGGCATGATGTTGACTAGGTGATAGGGTCAGTAGTCAGATGTTTGTGTTGTATTGATGATAGCCTCTGTGATTAAATGTTCAAACCAAATGCTAATTATGTTTTTCAAACAAAATCATATCGTCCTCCATTGTTTTTGTCCTCTAACATCTGGAATCAGTAAAGTCACATCTGTGCTACAACTAGATAAGTTTGTAGTTTCTTGAGTAATTACTTAGATTGACCTCAAACATTCATAGTTCACACTGCTACTAATTTTGTGGACTTCATAAGCATGTAGGTACCAACCACCTTGTTTGCCCGTTTTGGCGTAGTTTGAGTATTATGATATCTTGATTTTGTGTGGATGATTGCCCATTCTCTGCAACATATGCTCAGATGCATCTTACTCATTCATTGTATCTGAAATACTTAATCATAAATTTTTGGTGTTATGATGTTGCTTTGTATCAGTCTTTACAGCTGTAATATTATCTTGGACATTGTTAGCATCTATCCGTATGCACAGGTTTTCAATTCATTGTTAGCATTTATTCTGGCATTATGACAATAATAATGATATGCATTTTAGACATACAATGAATCTCAAATCATTTGAATAAGTTAATATTTGTCTTAGCTTATACCTTGGATGGATTTGTTTGCAATTAATAAAAGCGTTCATTCAATAACTAGATCCTTCTGAATATAACAGGTCTTCCAAAGTCAGGATGTCAGATGTCAACTTCTTTCACATCGAATGGGAAACATATAATCTCAGTTGGAGAGGACTCGCATGTTTATTTATGGGACCATGATGGCTTTTGTGTCTCATCCTCCAAACAAATAAGATCTGTTAAATCATGTGAGTATTTCTTCTGTGAAGGAGTGTCTGTTGCAGTACCTTGGTCAGGCATGAGACCTGAAAAAAAGAGCCTAGAAACTGCTAGTGGGCGATGTTGCTCACAAAGACAAGGCCATCTAGAGCCTGCTTATGGAAGCAGAGATGCAGAACGTTTTTCCCTTGGAAGTTGGTTATTCTCAAATGGTCCGTGCAGGGGCTCTGCAACTTGGCCTGAGGAGGAACTTCCCCCATGGGCTCTGCAACATAGAGATCATCAGCACCACCACCACAATCACCTTGCTAGACCAGATACATGGGGGCTTGTCATTGTAACTGCCGGATGTGATGGAACAATCAGGACATTCCATAACTATGGATTGCCCGTCAGGCTCTAACTCAAAGTCCATTTCGATCACCCTGCACTGGCTCATCACAGTTGAAGTCTTTGTTATAAAATGATGCCCTTCATTTCTGGGACATCTTGCAATGAATCCTTGGCTCATTAAATAGGCAAGAAGAATCAGCACTGGAGAGCCTGCGTCCTGCTATTTTTAGCATGATAAAGATTTTAGTAGAATAGGAAATCTTTTGAAGGATTTATTAGTCTGTACATTTTTATGTGAATAATAATTGATTTAGTGATTTCGTAGGTAAGAAATACAATTGGATAATTGGGTCAATTCCCGCTCATACATAGTTCTCCTGCAGACTACAGTCCTCCAAGTGAGGAGTAGTTTTCATTCTACTACAATGAAGTTTAACGAGTTTCAATGTGATACATCAAATTTTTTTCGTCTTAGTTGCATACATAACTGTTCGGACCAAAAATTGGAAAAGCCAAATGTATAGATCAAGGGAAGAATGGGACTTGGGTTTGGACCAAGTTTTAGGTCCAAGTTATTTTTCAACTCAAATTGATTTATTCTTTTACCAAGAGCTAATAACCTACATCCTAAATAGGTTTACCCGGGTAAATACACTTCACCCAAAAAGACTTCATTTAACTTTGACAACGGGGAGGATTTCAGGTGGTAAACTAAGAACTAAGCAATTGCATTAAATGCGATTTGGGCGTTGAAACCCTACTGTCAGAAAAGAACCATGTTGGAGCCAATTCTCACTGTCAGCGCAAGGATCAAGGGACTCGAGTTTACCAGCTCACCTGCAAAAGGACTGACAACAGACTCATCCATCCCTTCATCAAGTGTGCAAGTTCACACACCAAGAAGCCTATATATTAGAGCATTTCCAGCAGCTAAGGCTGGACTCGGGCTGGGTGGGGTTTGGGCCAAAAAGTGGTTTCCAGTAACAAAAGCAAGCCCGGGCAGATGGTGGGACCCAGCAAACTGGGTTGGCCCGAGGGCAATGCTGATGTCAGCGTGCCGCTACAGTGCCCTCTTTCACGTGGCGCGCGCTGGGGTCTCCGATCAGATTTTTTTTCAGCAATCCAATGGCAGCCAATTTTTGTGCAATAAAAAAATGAAAAAGAAGAAGAAAAAACATGGAAAAAAAAATTACTGATTATTATTATTATTTTTTCTTTCTCTATACCTTATTTCCATTTTCAATAGTTAAGTAAATGTCTTTGTCCTTTTACTTTCATTTATTTTTATATTACTCCATTTACTTAAGTTTACAATGTAAATAAAGAAGTACCCCCCATTTGGATTCAAATAAAAATACTAGAAAATCAAATTCCCACCAAATCAAAATATGAAAAATCGGTTTTAGTGCCAAATACGATTTAGGCTAAAAATGATGGCTCATTAAGTCAATATATAGTTCATACTAAAATCCCATAAAATCAAGTTTTCTTATTTGATGTGTAAGGAATAAAAGCCGCCAAAAATTATCTTGAGAAAATGATTATTCCGAAAAATCATTTTTCATACTTAGTAAATATTGCACCTCCGCTAAAAAAATTCTGGATCCGCCAGTGTCTATAAATACCAACAAATACTCTTCACTTTTAACACCAAATCCTCATACATTTGTTTCTCTATAAATATAAGCCAATACAACTAATAAAATAAAATCTTATCCGAAAATATTATCCAAATTAATTGTTTAGGTAAAAAAAGTTGTGAAAAAAATAAAAAAATAAAAAGGATTCGCCATGGCAAAGGGCAACTGCTGGAAACACACATTGCTTAATATGGCAAGGGCAGCCACTTATTCACGTGAATCTGTAGCCCCCCCCCACCCCCCCCCCCCCCCCCCCCCTGCCATGGCAAGGGGCAAACTGCTGGAAGTGCTCTTAGCAAGTTGGAAAAGTGCTTGACACACGTCACACCTCGATATGAAAATAAAGAATATTTCCAAATAACCCAACATACACATATGTTCACTTTAACAAGTCTCATCTACCAAAATTACTTATTAATTAATTATTCCAAGAGATGTAGAAAACGATATTCTAAGGTGTTGTTTATGTGTTTCAAAGACAATACAAGAGATTTTGTTTTGGGTCAAAATGATGAAACTTCATTGAAACATGGGGCAGCAGCCCATAAGTACGAGCAGGGGCGGGTGCGGTCCGGTCTGATTTCCGCCTTGCACTGGAATCGGTACTATTCAACTGGTGCGGTTCAGTCTAATTTTGGTGAAAAGTATTTATGAAACCGACTAGTCTAGTTTAAACCGGTTTTGATGCGGTTTTCGATTTTTGCGGTTCTAGAATGGATTTTTTTATTATATCTTTTTCAAATTATTACTTTTTAAAAATTCCAACTAATTTCTTTTTTTTGGCTTAAAAATTCACAAATGGTCAAATTTCATGCAAAGAGAGATTATTGGACCTAGAAAAAAGAGGTGCTTTGAAGTTGGGCTTGGGAAAATATTAGTTATGAGATTAGAAATTTAGCATTAGACTTAAATAATTTAAAAAAAAATAAAAAATACACAGTCGGTCTGGTTTGGTCCTTTTTTTTTAAGGTGTGAAATTGGCATTGAAATCGATTTGAACTGATTCGGTGCCGATTTGTTGACTTTTTAGTCAACGCGATTTTTTCCTTCTGGTGCGGCTCAGTGTTCCGGTTTTCCGGTCTCGATGCCCACCCCTAAGTACAACCAAAGAAAGTGTTTGGGCTCAATTGGGCACACCCAGCCCAAAATCACAAGGCCCATGCCAATTTTGGGCAGCCACCAGCATTCTTCTGAAATTGGGCCAAGACACACACTCAGCCCAACACTAGAGGCCTAGAATGATGAAACAAAATTAGACCCAGACGGTTCGGATCCAAATCGTGAACAAAAGCCCAAATCCAAAGAAGGCCCAGCCCAGGATATGTCTAAAACATAAATAAATAAGACTTGGGCCTCGGAAAGACGAAGAAAAGAAAGAAATCAACCCATGGTCCAAACTCGAATTTGGGCTTGCCATGATTAAAAAGAGGAAACCCAAAACAGAAACAGACCCACGTGATGTTTCTGACTTAGAAAAGTAAATATTTTCAACTAGAGTTAACAAAAGCAGGCGGCTAGGACAAGACTTCTATGAATCTTTGCTATCAGAAGGTCAAATCCCTTTTTATATATTTGGAAATAATGTTTTTTTGTCCAAAAGAGAGTGGTTCTTCCAAAAAGATAAGCATGCTATATTCTCAAACAGAGATAAGCAGAAGGACAGGGAGTTGATCAAAACTGGAAAATCAAACTAACCATCACAGTTTGAGCTCTCACAGGGAGCAGTTGGAATTAAAATAGGGAAGTGATTGACATAGGAATTGACCATTGAGAGCTTATTTGCCAGAATTGATAAAACCACTTCTTCTTCTTTAAATTTTAAAAATGAAAGATCTTTTGAGAAATTTTGCTGCCCATTATTAAAAGAATTATCCTACTCCAGAAAGCACTTCTTATAAATATAGAAGAGGGTGAACAGCGCAAAACACACTCAATTAAACACTCAATTAAACACTCAAATAAAACAACAAAATCAAAGAACTAAAAATCAACCCAAGACAAGAACTCAAAATGATCACTTGATCCTTGAGAACCCCCAAACAAACTAAAGCAACCAAGAGCCCAGTCAAGCCAAAGAAGAAGCTAGCCATGATTCAGAACTTCCAAGCTCAGATTTAGAAAATAAGTCATTCAAAACGAGATTCCTCTTGTTACATATTTGGTTCAGCAACAGTCAAGACAAGTAGAGCTTGAGTTTTCATAAATATGAAAACCTCAACAAATTTATGGAGAGCCCTAACCAAGCAGAACAGGTACTATAGTGTAGTTCCGGCTCAGTAATCCTCAAGTCCAGCCACTTATGTCCCATTCAGACTAAAGAGGTTGCAGTTCTGCCCGTTCAAAAAGCCTTCCAGGGCTTGAAATAGATTAAAGCTCTGCCAAAATCAAGATTTGGTATCGATTTACAACTGAAGCTTGGCAGTTGAAGTTGTTGACAGTTCAATTCAGAACAGACATACCCAGTCCAGCCCGGATCAAAAGCTTCTATCCAGACAGAAATGGAATTCCAGCCTTCTTTTTGCCTTCCTAGAGTTGATTTTTTCTTTATGAGCCTTGTAAAAGGCAATTCTGTCTAAAACAGTTCACTTTTATTACCATTTATTCTGGCAAGAACTACCAACTTTATACTAAGATAAATTGTGAAGTCCTCACCAGTCTGAGGCAGGAAAAGAACTTACTTGGGAGATATTCCTCACCCAAATTCACAATTGTTTGTTAGAAATTAGTAACTTGGGGGCCAAGTCATCTATTTTCAAGAAATCTGCTAGAATTGTTATCGCTAGCAATGGCACGCTCGCACACCAAAGAAAGTTGACTTGTTGGCCAGTCAATGGTTTTCAAGGAAATGAGGAACTTTACCCTTCTATCACAGGAACAAACACAAAATGGGTAAACAGAAAGACAACTAAGCAAAACCAAATACTGCAAGGGAAACCAAGTCACCCATAAATATTTTTTTATTTTAAAAAAGGAGATTTATAGATAGAGAGAAAAATGAAGTGGCTGTTGGGTTTTCCATGGCTATTGTTGGTAAAATGGAAATTTAGTTCATAACAAAAACTCATTTATTTCTTTGATAAGTGATATACACGTGTATTATTCTAATAGGATAGCAATAGTTTCCACGTAGAAAGAAATCATAAATGCAAAGGGTCCACTAGTGTAGCGGTTTGGAGTAATTAGTCCCCCACACAAGGTTTTGAGTTCGAGTTCTAGCATTCGTGTTGCGTGTGTGAGTTTAGTTTATGCCCCTCTCAATAGGAAAGGTCCTTTAAAAAAAGGGCTAACATCATTTTACCCTTCCAATATTTGAGGTCATTCTTGAAAATGGCCATGTGGTTTTAATTTTGTCAATTTACGCCTTAATGTTTTAAAATCCGACCAATTTACATGTTCTGTCAATTTGACTGTTTGGTATTTTGTTAAGTGATGATGTGGCAAACACAGGGTCCACCTTTTTAGCTTAGGTGTAATAAAAATATGTAACAAATAATATTTAAAAAATCTTTATTTGTTAGGTTAATTAAATATTAAAATCAATTATAAAAAAAAAACATAATTAAAAAACCTAACACTCCCACCAAACCCCCCAGCCATCACCAACCACTCCAAACCAGCATCTCCACCGCCCCTATCCTTCTTCTTCCTCCTCCTTCTCTTCCACCATCCCCACCTTTGTTCCCAACACACATTTCTCCTTCAGACGCCCACGCTCATCACCACCCTTCAACTTCACATACCTAACCCGCCCTCTCTTCCTCCCACTCCTTCTCTTTCTCTCCCTTGCATAAATTAGCCAACCCCATCCCCACCCTAGCCACAACATCAGCTGCGAAACCCCTGGAATTCCCAAAAACTCAAGTGCCCAGAATCTTCTTCACCGTAATGTTATCATTTGAGCTTGTTGAACAGTGAGCTTCATGGTGTTGTTCCAGTCCTTGGCCGTCTCTTTAGCAATGTCTTATATGATCTTCTTCGGGGAGAGACCTAAAGGATTGATCTTGGGAGCGAGAGAACTCGCCGCACCAACCTTGCCTATAGTGACACAAATGTAGACATTGACCACCTAAGATGGGTTGAACACTAGAGGCATGGCTTCTTCGATGACGCCTTAGGTTTCAAGGGGTTAGGGTTTCAAAGGGAGGAGGCTAGGGGTAGGGATGGTTTCATATATGGGGTGCAATGGGCTGGGGAAGGAGGAGAGTGGGTTGTTTGCAGGCGGTGGTTGTGAGGTGGTATAGGTTGAGAGAGAAGAGAGGGTTTGGTGGTGGGGTTGGTGACAACTAGGGGGTTTGGTTGGAATGTTGGTTTTTTCTTTTTTTTCTTTTAAATAATTGATTTAATATTTTTAAGGGCTAACGACAAAAAAACCCATGAAGGTTTGGGGTCATTCTCAATACGGGCCATGGGTTTTCAATTTCATCAATTTACACCATAGTGTTTTCAAATCTAATCAATTTAATTATTCCATTAAGTTGATAGTTTGGTCAGACGTTAATTGATGACATGTCTACTGTGGGACCCACATACTAACCAATCCCTAATTATATATATATTTATATAATGATAAAATAACATGAAATTAAGATAAATATAAATCTTTTAAAAAAACCCAACCCCTTCCTTGCCTAATAACTCAGTGGTGCCCTCTGTTCCCCCACGACTACTGGTTCCAACAACAATAGCAGCAAGTCTATCCATTGTTTTCTTCCCTTCCAAACACCTCGTGAGGTAACCATCATTTTCCAGTTCTTGTCTTCTTCACCAGTGGTCAAGGTGTCATATGAATTGTCAAGCTTCAAAGGTTGAATCACCTTATCTGCAGTTGGGCTTTTGCAAAGATCAACCTTGTGGATAGCGCTGGCAATGGGTCGTGTCGTGTCAGGTTCGTGTCGTGTCGAACTCTTAAACGTGTCAAAAAACCTCAACCCATACACGACCCGTTTACTAATCGTGTCAAGAATTGCAAACCCAAACACGACCTGTTTATAAACGGGTTGACACGACACGACCCGTGTAACCCGTTTACTAAACAGGTCATGTTTGGGTCATAAACATGTAACCTACCTGTTTAAAAACATGCTTCAAATCTAAGGTCATAAACAGGTAACCTACCTGTTTAATAACCTGTTTAGTGACCTATTATTAACCTGCTTCAAATATATGGTCATAAACAGGTAATCTACCTATTTAATAACCTGTTTAGTAACCTATTATTAACCTGCTTCAAATCCATCATAAACCAGCTCAAATATTCAGCCAAATCAAACATTTCCAGCTTAAACATTCCAAATCCAACATTTCCAGCTCAAACATTCCACAATCACAATAAAATTAAAAAAACTTCAAAGTCTCTCTAAAATCCAAATAAATAAAACAGAAACAAAAATCTTTGATTAAATTACAACATAAAATACATAATCACATTCCTAACTCAAATATTTAGCCACTAGCAGCGATGGTATTGGAGCACTCAGCAGATTGGGAGAGATTTATGGCTATGTTACTAATATCCTCTGTCAATTCTTCCAAGTTGGGTGCCATAGTGGGATTTTCTGCAATTCAAACCATAAGACTTTAGATGATGATAAAAGAAACAAATACAATAAATAAGATGATGGGAAATATACCTTGGTCACCAAATATCCAGTCTCGTGTACAAATTAGTGCCTCAACATTTTCAGGTTTGAGAGCACTACGATATTGATCAAGCACTCTACCACCAACACTAAATGATGCCTCATATGCGACTGTAGATATTGGAATAGATAGTACATCACGAGCCAAAATAGATAGTTCAGGATATCAAATTGGTTGACCTTCCAAAAATCAAGAACATTCAAATTTATCTTCCTATCTATTTTAGGCTCATCCAAATACAATTGCAGCTGTGACTTTTGGGAAGATGTGATAGACTCCTCACTTTCAAAGGTATCAAATTCCTAATAATATAACAACATTATTAATATGAGCACGTAGTCAAATATAAACTGAAATTTGATGTATTATGAACAAAATAAATAGCTTTTTACCTTCATAACATCCATGAATTCCTTTGATACCATGTCATCAACATGAGAACGAACACTATTTGAGGTACTTGATATACCAACAACTGATTCGGCCTTAGAATGTATTTGAACATATAAATCAAAGAGGGAACATAACATCTCACGAACTTTGGCCATTTCTTGGGAGTTTGTACCATACAACCTTTTATAACAAAATTCCACAAACTGAATTTTATATCTAGGATCCAATATTACAGCAATTGCAAGGATCAAGCTGTACTCTTTCCAATACTTATCAAACTTTTCCATCATTTGAGTTGCCATAGATCTCATGAAATCATCTTGATCAATTTAAGCTTTTCTCAAAGTATCTTCCACCACAAACACTTGAGGAAAATACAGATTTGCAGTAGTGTATTTAGTTCCAGAAAACAAGCAAGTGACGTCATAAAATACCTTGAGAAACTTGTTAAGTTTTTCTAATTTTTGCCACTCAACTTTAGAGAGAGAATGCTTGTAATTTGAATCACTTAATTGCAAATGCAGAAATGCCCGTTGATAATAAAGTGCACTATCAATCATTAGAAATGTGGAGTTCCATCTAGTGGGTACATCTTGGCGCAAACCCTTTTTACAATCTAAAGAAACTTGTGCAGCACAATCTAAGAACTTCTGTTTCCTCCCTTGTGAACCTCTAACATACTTAATACTTTCCCTAATTTCCCCACAGAATCATGAATGTGTTTCAACCCATCTTGCACTATTAAATTCAGGATGTGTGCACAACACCGAATATGAAAAATATACCATTCATTAATAGTGCATTCTGCAAGTTAAGCTGCCCCTTCAACAACATAACAAAACTATCATTTGAAGATGCATTGTCCAAAGTCAAACAAAAAAGTTTCTTTTCCACCCCCCAACTAGTCAACAACTTATAGATCTTCTCACACAATGCAACACCACTATGAGGAGGAGGCATAAAACTGAAATTCAAAATTCTTTTTTGCAATTTCCAATTAGCATCAACAAAATGGGCAGTGAGAGAAAGATAACCATCCGTGGTTATAGAAGTCCACAAATCAGATGTCAAACAAACTCTTCCACTGATTGAACCCAAAAGTTCCTTAAGCTTACCCTTTTCTCTATTGTACAAACTCAACACATCAGCCTTTGCAGTATTTCGAGATATCAATTTGATATCAGCACAATGTAATTAAACACATCCCTAATTCCAGCATACTCAACAAATTGAAAGGGCAGCTCATGCTTGATAATTGCCATCACTAGTAATTCACGAAATTTATTGGGATCAAACTTAGCAGACCTTGTTATGATAGACCCTTCAGATTTAGATAATAATAATTGGCCAATATCACGGGTATCGGATTTCAAACAAGAATCAAGATGACGCTTTAAATTTCCAGTACCATATTACTATCACACAAGTACTTATGACCACATTTCATGCACTTCGCATAAAGCTTATTATCTGGATCAACAGGAAGAATTTCAAACTGAGTCCATACATGTGATGTGAGTTTTCTACGTCTCTTACCAACATGAGTTGCAGCAACTGCATTGTTGTTAGACGGATCTGAATCTTGCACATTGCTTCTAGCTGCTTCACCATCAAAACTATCACCCCCATCTTCAAAACATCCACCTGTATAAAAACATAATAATTTTATGTTAGTCAAAAGATAAACAAAAAACAAAGAAATCCAAATAAAACAAAAACAAAAAAACAAAGCAAAACAAATATTAATCACAACCATGAATGTGAGATTTTTTTACAGGAAGAATTTAAAACTTAGGCACGTTGAAACCCCTAATTGTATATTTTTTGAACTATGAGATGAGCTCCAGCTTCCAGACTTGATCAAAACACTGTCAATGGACTATATGGAAGCAATGAAAATCATGCAATTTAAATCACAAGTCTCTAATATATTATTATTTGCTTAAAGGTACATTACAACGACTGAATTTTGGGACATTAAATGTAGGTGTAGGCAACCCTATTTGACTTCCTACCTTTTCAAAGCAGGTGCTCCATGCAGACATCAAAATTACAATCTAGATAAAGGGAAATTAAGTCCCTTGATTCAGCATTGATAAGAACAACAGAGCATATAACAATTATAACAATTTCTTCATTGTGGATCCTAGTTCTCCTACAACTACTCTGCATTCAGATCATTTAATATACAGTTATATTATTTTGGTATTCATGCCAAAGGGAATACTACAACCTTTAAGCCCCAACATTCAGAAATTTCAAAAAATACTCAACTACTTCCAAGATCAATACTCAACATTCAGAACTTTTTGACCTTTACAAGTCTAAAACATGGCTGGCTCTTTCACTTAGTAAACGGACTAACAAAATGAAAGAAAACAAATCGACCCATTACTCAAACGAAAGCATCAGAGCTTTAAAAGTAGTTTTTTCATGTATGGTAGTAACTAGTAAGTAAGCATATAAAGATCAAAGGCCAAACCCAACATAAATAACAACGTAGACACAGAGAGAGAGAGAGACGAAGATAGACCTGTAAGGCTTTGAGAGCACAAAACAGCACCCAAAGGAGAAATTCAAGAACCCAAGCAAATCTCAGATCTCCTAAAAAGATTTAGTTTTCTTTCTTTTTTGGGTGTGATCCAGCCAAAATGGCCATAGAGAAACCACACTGAAAGTTGTTGGTTCGGAAAGGATTTGGAGGCGGCTGGGAGTTAGGTTTTCGAATGAGAATAGATGAGAGAGAGATATGTTATGTTATATTTGTGTGTTTCTTTTCTAGGTTTTTAATTAAATGGGTTATTGGATTATAAACGGGTTGACACGACCCGCGACACGACCCGTTTAATAAACGGGTTAAACAGGTGTTTTAACGGGTTGGCGGGTTGACTCGAACCCACCGTTTATAAACGGGTCAGCAGCGGGTTGACCCAAAAATGACCCGTTTTTTAATCGTGCGGGTTCGTGTCGTGTTTTTAGCGTGCGGGTTTCGAGTCGTGTAACGGGTCGTATCGGAAATTGTCACCCCTACTTGTGGATACTGCTTATGTGAGCTCGCTTGCTAGAAGGGTAATACCCATGGGAGCCAATTGACAACAGGCAACCCAAATCCCAATTCACGGGATTTGAGTAAAAAAACTGAATGATAGAAATCATCATCACCTGAAATCCCCAAAACAAAAAACTAAAATCAGCTACAAGTATCCACATCTTAAGTCTGAAAGCTAAATCTCAAGTCAACAAAGGCGCAAAAGATTAAGGCTAGGGGACAAATAGATCCATATGAATTGGATATAAAGATTTCACCTTGAAACCAACCCGTTAAAACTAGACCAAAATGAAGAACCCCCATTAAACCTAACCCACCAAAATCAACCCACAAAAGCACAAAAAGTAAAAGTAAAACACAGAAACGTACCACTGTAATTAACGGGGGCAGGCATGATTGTTCCTTAGAGCACAAACCTCCAGAGATAACAAAAAGAAAAACGCTGAAGACGAAAAGCGTTGAAATGAGAGTGATGAAAGTGCAGAGGGTTAAGAGTTTTGAGAAAGAACTCTAACAAGTAGGGAAAAATATGAAGGAGGAGGAGGAAGGGGAGGAAATGAGGAGCTTTTTGAAATGGGTATGGTGTGGTTGTGTGTTGGCGAGATAGGGTGGGGAACAGGGGCGGGTGCTTGCTCACCACACTAACCATAGGTGTATGCTCACCACCACCCTTAAAATGTGATGCCTGTACTATGGTTAACCAGGTTCACCTTTGGAGTTTGGAAACTAGCTCAAAAGAATTATTCCACTGTTAAGAAAGAAATGCTAGCCATTGTCCATGTTGTTTCTAAATTTGAAAGTGATCTTTAAATAAGATATTTTTTTATAAGAGTGGATTGCAAGGCTGCCAAAGACATTTTGTTCAAGGATGTTAAAAATCAAGCATCAAAACAGATTCCTGCAAGATGGCAAGGAATTCTTTCTGCTTTCAATTTTGATATTGAATTTATTAAAGGTGAAACTAATGCACTCTCGGACTTTTTAACTCGAGAATTTTTGCAGGGTGCGAACCAGAAATTTCGGACAGATGACACCCAGTAAGAGCTCATCTGCTCTTACCAAGTCATCCCCTAATGATCCAAAGTCACTTATGTCTTCTTCTCCATAAATAAGGGTAAGGAGAAGCAGATTGCTGAAAATCTATTCCGTGAATATATGAATATGTATGTAGCAATCATTGAAATGAATATCTAGATAAACACCCAAATTTTCTGGCTGAAAAATATTTAATGGATAATCTTCCTCCCTTGAATAAGCCTCGTATTTTCTATGAAACTCTTCTAATTGAAACTAAGTCTGTTAATATCGTTTATCGTTATAGAGGTGAAAATGCCAACACCATAGCATTCTCCAAAATCCAAATTCTAAACGTCATTTCTTTGGAAGAATGGGGTCCTTGAAATGACCTGACCCAATTTCTACTTTGGAATCCGGGTGGAATCCTGTTTAAAACTGACACATGGTGGCTGTGAGTTGTAAATGACCAAAATGCCCTGAAAAACAATAACACAAACTCTAAGGCGTTAACTCGTGGCTGCACCTGATAACTGTAGGCTGCCTACGTACCCTTACTGATTGATCAAGCCACACGTAGTTCTTTCCTCTGTCCTTGATCTGCAACTGGTTTGTTTACTGTAAACCTCGCTCTAGGGCTGACATTCCTGGAGTATCCGGGACTCCGTTTTACGATCTGTCAAACACTATACAATCCTGGAATTACCTAGATCAACATACTTGAAATTGACTGCGATCCAACGGTTCAAACGTATCGAACCCGGAACTCGCACAATATGTGAGATCCGTTCGGGGTTCAAACGTTGTCCGAATTAATATCCGCAAAATCCTAAGCGCTTGTGAGGACTGGGAGGTTATTCTAGGACTGACTGTGGCCCCCACCATGCTGTCCACGCTCCGCCACACGCGTAGGCAGCGCGTGGTGCCTAAAGCGATAACGCTTCACCGGAAAAACTCCAAATCACGGCTCAAGGTTCCTACCCTAAGTGTAACACCCTATTTGGAGCCACATTTGTTCTTGGACCTACCCCAAAAATTGGCCGGAAGTGGCCGGAATTGTACTCTCAAAACCGGCCGAACCCTAACGTGTAAATTGAACTATCTACGCTTGAAATCTCTGAAATCCTACCCAACCAGCAGCAAGAGCATGAAAAATAGCTAGAAATCCATACCTCACACGACCGGATTGGTGGCCGGAGGAGGGAGAAACAGCTCGCCAAAATTCTGTCAAAACCCGTCGGAAATCATGATTTTCCGACGGTTCGAGGCTGCAGACGGCAGGGGAAACGACCGGGCTACGTCAACGGAGTGACGCTGGTGCCTCTGGGTCCGGTCCGTTGAGTCGAGGTGGGGTGTGGAGGTGGCTGGGACGAGGGATCCGGTCGGAGCTGAAAAATAGGGGGGTCGTGAGCTGGAGAGAGAAAGGAGAGAGGGTTTTTAAAATATCTGACATGGCAAATTACCATTTGCCCCTGAACGTAATTTGATCGTAACTCCCTCAATACAACTCGGATTTGAGCCCACTACGTATCTACGGACTCATCTCACTGCGCTCTACGCAACAGTATAACTAAAATCCCCAAATTCCTTTCCAATCAAAAAGTCAACTTTTAAACCATTAAAATATTATAAGGGCATAATTGTCTTTTACTAGAATAAATTAATAATTAAATATTAATTAAGGACCTGGTTGTTACAATCTACCCCCCTTATAAAAATTTCGTCCTCGAAATTTACTTACCCTTCACTTGAGGGGTGAGGGTACTGGGCCCACGACTGCTACTCGGGTTCTCAAGTCTACTCCTCTAGTACTGCACTCACCATTTGCATCTCAATAACTGTATTTATAAGTCAATCAATAAAATCCGAAAGCAACATATTTATATCTGGGTACCTGAGTGGCTTAAGAAAATATAAAACTCTGAAAAGATATGATAACTAACTGAATTTCTTGTTAAATTTAAAACTCTGCTGCCATTACTTTGATATTAGCTAAAATTCTATTTTTCCTATGAGTGTCCGACGCCTGGCTAATGGTGGGCACAAAAACTAATTTGCCCTTTTAACTGAAATTAAATGAAATTCAAGTGCGACTTCTACCGAAAATTCAGCAATCTCCCCTGTAAACTGAACATTTTCCAAAAACATTTTGCATGTAAAACAAGTATATATGTTTAAATATATATCTATATCACAATTGCCAGCATGTAAGTTAAAATATTTAAAAGCATATAATAAGGTACTGAACTCATGCATTCCTGTTTATACATAACAAACAATAATCCTGCTGAAAAACATTGAATATATAGTTCATCCTGCCCTATAATCCTTGCTGGACTCAGGAGACATCTGGTCAACCTGATCCGCAATTCTGACTCCCACGGTCCGGATAACTCTAAGACTCGTGAGGCAAAAACATGCTAGAAATACTGGAGCTGTTTAATACCATATCCAATAATAAGAGATGAAGGCCAACAACTTAAATAAAATAAATTAAGATAAATTAAAGCAAACTGGATTAAAATAAAATAGATATATATATATATATCTATATATTCACATAATACTTGTAAAACAATTGTGATGCTTAAGAAAATAGTGGTAACTATATAAAATCCTCAATTTAATTTAAAAGCATATCAAAACTTAAATTCTCTCCACCTAGACGTACCCCCATATTTGATCCGTCAATTCCTGGTATCCCTCAATTCTTGATAACCGTCAATTCCTGATATCCGTCAATTCCTGATAACCGTCAATTCATGATAACTGTCAATTCATGATATCCATCAATTCCCCTGGCAGGTCTCGGTGACACAAAGTCAACCCGAGCCGCAGCTGGCAGGACTCAAGGGACCGTAGTCAGCCTGATCCGCAAACTGGCAGGTCTTGGAGACACACCTCAATCCAAGCCGCAACCTGGCACTGCACGGTTCAGGCGTCCCTGAAACTCGTGGGGCAAAATAACCAACTGTCTCAAGGCAACTGGGGGGTACCTTGTGGTGGGTTTGAAAATCATAATCTGCTATTTACATAAACTTTCAATAAATCAGTTTTCAACTGAACTTAAAATATGTCCATATATATATATACACCAAAATCTGATGAAAACCAAAAATTAAATTTCTTCCTTTTCAACCACTGAATACATGCCTCAACTACTTAGCTAGTTTGTTCACCATATTGACCTCTGATTAGCATATCATTCCAATATTATATTTATACTCTTACAACACAATTAACCATATGAACAAATATAGACATGTGATAATATGTTTTTCATATGAAAACCTCAACAAATTTTTTAAACCCTTCTGGATACCTGTTTACTCAGCCATACCAACGAAGTAAAACAACATAAGAAAAGTCCAGCAATTTCTTAAAATAAGGATGCACATGTGATGTTGTGTCTACAAGAAGTTAACCTAATGCTCTGATACCAATTGAAACGACCTGACCCAATTTCTACTTTGGAATCCGGTTCGAATCCTGTTTAAAACTGACATCTGGTGGCTGTGAGTTGTAAATGACTAAAATGCCCTGAAAAACAATAACACAAATTCTAAGGCCTTAACTCGTGGCTGCACCTGATAACTGTAGGCTGCACCTGATAACTGTAGGCTGCCTACATACCCTTATTGAGGGATCAAGCCACACGTAGTTCTTTCCTTTGTCCATGATCTGCAACTGGTTTGTTTACTGTAAACCTCGCTCTAGGGCTGACATTCCTGGAGTATCCGGGACTCCGTTTTACGATCTGTCAAACACTATACAATCATGAAATTACCTAGATCAACATACTTGAAATTGACTACGATCCAACGGTTCAAGCGTATCGAACCCGGAACTCGCACAATATGTGAGATCCGTTCAGGGTTCAAACGTTGTCCGAATTAATATTCGCAAAATCCTAAGCGCTTGTGAGGATTGGGAGGTTATTCTAGGACTGACTGTGGCCCCCACCCTGTTGTCCATGCCCCGCCACACGTGTAGGCAGCGCGTGGTGCCTAAAGCGAAAACGCTTCACCGGAAAAAACTCCAAATCACGGCTCAAGGTTCCTACAAGTGTAACACCCTATTTGGAGCCACTTTTGTTCTTGGACCTACCCCAAAAATTGGCCGGAAGTGGCCGTAATTGTACTCTCAAAACCGGCTGAACCCTAACGTGTAAATGGAACTATCTACGCTTGAAATCTCTGAAATCCTACCCAACTAGCAGCTAGAGCATGAAAAATAGCTAGAAATCCATACCTCACACGACCGGATTGGTGGCCGGAGGAGGAAGAAACAGCTCGCCAAAATTATGTCAAAACCCGTCAGAAATCATGATTTTCCGACGATTCGAGGATGCAGACGGCAAGGGAAACGACCGGGCTACGTCAACGGAGTGACGCTGGTGCCTCTGGGTCCGGCTTGGTGAGTCGAGGTGGGGTGTGGTGGTGGCTGGGACGAGGGATCCGATCGGAGTTGAAAAATAGGGGGGGCGCGAGCTGGAGAGAGAAAGGAGAGAGGGTTTTTAAAATATATGACATGGCAAATTACCATTTTGCCCCTGAACGTAATTTGATCGTAACTCTCTCAATACAACTCGAATTTGAGCCCACTACGTATCTACGGATTCATCTCGCTGCGCTTTACGCAACCGTATAACTGAAATCCCCAAATTCCTTTCCGGTCAAAAAGTTAACTTTTAAACCATTAAAATATTATAGGGGCATAATTGTCTTTTACTAGAATAAATTAATAATTAAATATTAATTAAGGACCGGGTTGTTACAGTCCTAGCCCTGAAAGGGCCAAAAGATTTATCCATCCTGAAATTAGGCCATATTCCTATAATTACTGGGATTATAAAAAGGCATGGGAATATGTTTTATGTTTTCAAAATCAAAACTATTCTCATACTTGGTTTATCCAATTTAAGCTTCAAGCTCTGAAAGAACTCCCTAATTGGTTCAAGAGCTTTTTTTTTATTTGGGGTCCTATTTTGGAATACCTTCTTCCTAAAATAAAGGAATATTTTCAAATGAAATTTTGTAAATGGAATAAAAACCATCTTGATCATAGGACCTTATTCATGTGGTTCATGATAATGTATGAACTACCATGGATATTAAAATGGGAATATGTTATTTCGGAGGATGTTGATGAGGAATGGACTTATATTCCAAATTTAGTCTGAAGTATCTTAATTAGATGGTGGGATAAATTCACTAGGGATCACCTGGCTCCCGCCAAGATCATCCCAGCGCTTATCCCATCCCTTGACTCTGCAGCTGCTCAGCCTTTGGCCACTTCTTCTAATCTAAGTGTTTCCCAAAGGTTGCAACTATTGATAGACCAGCCAGGATCATCATCTTCCAAAGAAGACTTGAAAAAGAAAGTCATCGAGATTCTTGATCTCAATGACGAATCCATGGCATCAGCATCTGCCACTCAGCCTGAAGATGAGGTGGACCCTTTTGCTAATGAAGACATGCTGGACAATTATCATCCGTATCTTTATGGTGGGCCTCAATGATATTCTGTTTGATAAGAAGACAATTTGTAAATATTGTAATTTTATGCTTTCCTGTCATTTTAACTTTACTTTTCCTCTGGTTAAAGCAAGATTCTTCTGCTTTAACTCTGCTTTCACTTTTGTAAAAGTTTGCTTTTTCTTTTTGGCTGTTTGCGAGAAAGTTAAGCAAGAATCATCAAAGTGAAGATGCCGCTCTACTTTAAGCTGCTTTGTGACTTATTGTCTTTATTTGACACGTCAGCAAATAAAACTAGTTAGCAAATTTTTGGGTACACGCAGAGTTTGCCGAAACAATTCCCGCCAAATCGTAGTGCGCCGAGCAACATATACCTCTAAATTCCTTCCAGTAAGTAAACCTAAATTCCCTGTCTTCCCAAATTTGATGAACAAAGATAAAATTTAAAAAACCCAAAACAAAAAAAAACAAAAAACACAAGGAAGAAAATGAAAGGAGGCACAGTTCAGATCAACTGGCACGACACCAAGCCGGTACTAACCCTAGATTTCCACCCAACTTCTGGTACTCTCGCTACTGGTGGCGCCGATTTCGACATCAAGGTACTCACTTCTACTCTCTCTCTCTCTCTCTCTCTCTCTCCTCTCTCTTCCTCTACATTTTCACGAATCTAATGGGTGGGCCAATTAATGTTGAAGCTTTTCTTTTTTATTTCCGTGCAATTTCGCCTACTCTCAGCTCAAATTGTTGCTTCAATGGAGCATCAGAGCCTTCCTTTTTGTTTTTCGGATAAAGGATTTTTCGAATTTTTCTTTTTGTTATTAGGTTTTATTTAGCTTTTTCGTAAGTGTTCATTTGATATACTTCTTGATGTCATTTTGTTAGTTATTGGACTAACTGTGTTCATTTTATTTAATTTTTACAAGCTTTGGTTAATAAATTCGAGCGAAACACAGAAGAAACTCCCAGCAGCTTCATATCAAAATAGCCTTTCTTACCATAGTTCTGCTGTAAATGTCCTTCGCTTCTCTCCTTCTGGTAAGTGAAAACCTATGCCCTCCTCGGTGTTGTCTGCTCCTTGAGTGATAAATATTCTTTACTTTACATTTGTAATTTTCATGATGAAATACTATGGAGCTTCACTATTTCCTGGAAGATTACTAAGATGATAGCTAGCATGTCTGTTCTTCTTGCTTGGTGTTTGTAATCCTGAGTTCTTCACAAAGATATTGATTATGAAGAGAGAATCAAGTTGCTGACTTTAGAAATATGTTTTTTGGTTACGTTTTCTTTCTTTCTTTCTTTCTTTCTTTTTTTCCCGTTTTGTTCAACATCCACAAAGTGTAAGATTTAAAGTTACATTTTCATTTGCTGTGTGCTGATGCCAAAGTTGTAGTATACCCATATTTCCATACCCACCATCATAAATTCAAGGAAACAACACAACTAGCGCAGTTAATTCGAAGTTGTCTTTCTTAATCCTATTCTTAGGAGATGAGAGCTCAGCATGATTGTAGGCGAGGACCAGAATTATAGGATTGCGAGGAATTGTTTGTAAGGAAGGAGGGAAGTCTTCAAAGATCTTTAAAATAATTAAGCATACATAAATTAGCATTCTATTGGCATTGTACAGAGTTCTTGATCCTGTATTGTCTGTTTTGGCCTTAACCTAAAGTTGAAGTCTAAATAATTGTCTTAGGTGCATAATCCATGGTATTAGATATACGCTCTAATGGGAGTACCAACTTATGCTGACCTAGGCTAGTGATGGGCAACGGGTACCAATCACCGTCACCATCACCACCAACACCCCACCACTACCAGCACCACCTAATGCTTATCAATGTGGGCCAATGGGTATCCATTGCCCATCCCTAGCTGTAAGAAAACCTTATATTTTGAGATGATTGAGCAAATTGAGCGGATTTGATTTACCTAATCCAAGATTACTGAATGAGCTAATTTTGTTCATTTGATTAAGCTGATTTGGATGATTCTAGGAATTTTGCATTGGTGTTAATATGTTAGGAGGCTATACAAGGGTATGCATATTACTCAGTTGAATCAATGAAAAAGATGATACCATATCACTTGAATCCATAGTTTAAAATATCGATAATATCGACGAAATATCAAGGATATTATCGTTTTTTCGGGTCATAGATATTTCGGAATGTATCCATACACATATCGTATAAATATCGATAATATCGGAAAATATTGATGTCGATAATTTCACTCACACTTCAGTAATATTTTGTCAAAATATCGCTATAATATTGAAAATATCGAAAATATCGATGTAATGAAAAAAAAAACTCAAAGCCACACAAAGATGATTCAAACCCTTGCCAATTCACTCCTCCAACACCTTAACCACCATGTTGCTTATGTTTTTGTGATAATACGCTAAAATATGTATATTTATATTATTTTGTTTTGAACAATTATATGCAAAACTATTTTGGGTTTATCATCTGATGACTACTCTTCATAATACACTTACTCTACACATAGAAATGATGAAGATAGTGAAAACTTTGAACCTCATAAGAACTTTGTGTGATAGTAAGTTACTCATGTATCTTACCATGCAATGTATAAAGTGTAAAAATATTGCAGTAAGTCATTATATATAAATGATTATGGTGTGTTTAATCTTCTTTCATTAATTACTACATATTTTCTACACTCACAGTTTTTGTCAGCTCGCTATATAATCAACTTAAATCAGTTAACCCATCATGCAATGCATTTCCTTCCAATTTTTTGTGATAAACTAATACATAATTGATTGAATAAACATCCTCCAAAGTTTCAATAAAAATTTCCAAGTTTTTCTTATAATTTCTGTGGTTTTTATTCAATTTTTATCGATATCAATAATATCCTGATATTTCCATAGAAATTTCCATGTTTTTGGACTACTGATATTTCTGATGCCATCAATATTTTAGACCTTGCTTGAATCAATGTGAGGACGCTATCTGTTTTGTTACCCCTATCCTACTTTGACCACCAAAAAGAAAAACAAAGAAATTTCTTCCTCTCACTATTATTCCTCACGTTTCATTAAATCTTCTATTTTGGATCTCATACCACTTGAATTACGTCTCAGTTATTGTCTTGCTCAGATGATCAGATCTTATCTCATTTGTCGGCTCGGTTTACTTCATTCCCTGTTGGTACCAAAACAGATAGCAAGGTCTTCCTCTTCTTTGGCTTTATACTAGTGTAAAAATGAAGAGTCCTAATTACTATCAATTGGTCTGAGCTATCTAGGTTTTTGAAAGCTCGTAAACACGTTCTTATTCTGTTTGCAGCAAAATGGGAGTTGCCGATACCCTATTCTCCAGCTTAAGGGGGAGTCTTAACGACCATATGCTTAGGGATACTAATTTGGCTAATTCTATTGAGCTAGTTTAGTTTATTTGGCGAGCTGATTTGGATGATTTCCAGTATTGGTTTCTAAGAATGTTTCATTGAATTTTATTTGTTATGAAGCATAATTATTGGGATCTCAAGCCCCACTATTGTGGAAAGAAAATAAAGCAATGAAAAACAAAAAAAGGGGAAAGGGAGGGAGAAGAAAGAACTTCCATGGCAGAACAGAGCATCGATAGTAGACTCTAGAACATAGAAGAAGCTCTTATGCTTTGAATTTTGAATCTTGAATCAAGATGGAAGAACATGTTTCATGAGGAAGAAGTTTTAGGATTTAAGAGCATATCCAAGGGAGCGCTATCTAACTTTTAGCCAAATTTTTGCCAAGATGACTAGAAAACTGGTATAGTTTAGCACTTTTGAAGTGGTTAGTCCAGCCATGCGATTTTAGATATTCACCATATTTTTCATTACTTTTTTAACTTCAGCATTAGGAGCCACTTTCTCTCTCCTCAAATTTAGGAGTCCTTTTAGGAGCTAGATAGCTAGTATGGTACAGCCCTTTGTAGATGCTCTGAGTGCTGAGAAGTCTGAAGTCTGTTCTTTTTGTAACAGTGGGCAATAAGAAAAAAAGGCTTATTCTAATGAAAAACCGAACTGTCTCTCACATGCAGGCTTCAATTTTTGTACAGCATTGGCTTGTTGATGAAGATTGGCTTTGCAATAAAATGAGATTTCCTTTTTAATATTTAAAAAATTGAAGCTTGGAAAATTGTGTTATTGACACATGTTCCCTCATTACGGTTCTCTTTTATGGTGGAATTGATATCACTCCTTTGATGATGATGCAGGAGAACAGCTTGCCTCTGGTGCAGACGGTATGAAGATCACTCATATTATTGAATTTATTTTTATGTATACTTGGACTCTCTTTATTCACTTATTTTTCTAGTTCATTGTTCCGTTAAAGTACCTTTTCCTCTTTTTATTTATTTTTTCTATTAATCAGGAGGTGAGCTGATTATATGGAAGTTGCATGCAACAGAAACTAGCACAACGTGGAAGGTCCTTAAGACATTGTCGTAAGAATTTAAATTCAATAGTTAACCTTTTGTGTGCGTTGGATATTTGTTTTAAAGTATAGTTGGCAACACAGCAAGCTTAGGTGATTTAGGGCGGACCAAATCAGGGATGGGCTTATTGATCCTATGCATTTGGCTTATGCAGTTTGAAACCAATGTGCTATGTGTATTCTAGAAAATAAATAGATCAGATATATATACATGCATACATGAAGCTTCAAGTGAGGACGATGTCCTCATTTAAGAAAAATCTGCGAACATCCTCACCCCAACACATGGTCCAAATGGTCAGAACCTTAAAAGTTTCTCTTTCAAGGATGACCGTACAAAATATCCATTCAAATGGAAATTGTTTAGCCATTTGATTACAATCCAATTTTATTTAGTGGACACTTTGTGGGGCCTATTGTGCATCGTAGGTCGACAATTGGAACCATCTATGGTTTAAGTCTCTACCAAAGGATCAACCTTGCAAAAAATGAACCAAATCCAAAACTATTAAGACATCTAATTGTTTTCAAATAAATAGACAAACATAGTGTTACCATTTTGGCTGAAATTATCACCCTTAATCAAATGATTGAATGGTTTTTCATTTAGCTGATTCTTTATTTGTTTTGGCAATGATGATCATTTGACAAAAACTTAAAAGATAGACTTCAGATTATCGAACTACAATGTGGAGTGGGCTCCACAGTGTGCCCCTTATATTTGAGGGGTCCTTCAACTAAAGGGCACTGTCCCAAAATCTGAGACTTAAAACCAAGAGATTATTGGGCCTGATATAAAATGATAAGTAATATCTGTTAGATCCAGGCCCTTAAGGTGGATAATGTGAATTCTTTCTAGTTCTTGTTGGTTTAGACCTGGTAGTCTGGCATGTTGGAGTTCAATTTGAGATGTTCGATTTCAACCAAAGTATCAGATATGAAGGCCATGATATTTAGTTTAGAGCTTTGTGGGCCATATATTGCTGGCATGGATTCTTTGTACCTGACTTTTTCTGTTGTTATAGATTTCACCGCAAAGATGTGCTGGACCTCCAGTGGTCTGCTGATGGTGCATTTCTCATCTCTGGGTCAGTTGATAATTCTTGCATCATATGGGATGTGAACAAAGGTAAGAAAGACATTGCCTAAGCAGCATAACTATAACAAATATCTTTTAATTTGTCAAAAGATTCAACTCTGATTTTTCCTATTTCTATTTCTCAGGTTCTGTCCATCAGATTCTGGATGCCCATTCCCATTATGTTCAAGGTGTGGCATGGGACCCATTGGCCAACTACGCTGCTTCCCTAAGTTCCGATAGAACTTGTCGCATTTATGTCAAAAAAGCCCAATCAAAAGCAAAAGGTGCCGAGAAGACAAATTATGTTTGCCAGCATGTTATTTCAAAGGCCGGGCCTCCACTGTTGGATGATTCTAAGGTTAGAAGTTTGTAATCTCTACGTATTTCATTGATCCTAAGCATAGATGGAATATACATGTTCTTAGCCTCTTGTATGTTTTTATGTGCAGTCTGCAAAATACCATCTCTTTCATGATGAGACGTTGCCATCTTTCTTTCGAAGATTAGCATGGTCACCTGATGGATCATTTCTACTTGTTCCAGCAGGTAGTTCGCCTAAATGTATGCTTGGTGAACTGAGGACTTATGTAGTCTAATTCGCTCACCGCAATGGTTGGTTTTCGAATATAATATTGTATATTTGTTCTCCCCATCCAACCTTTTAATATTGTTGTGACTGAAGCATTGACTAGAGCCTTATCTGAGGACTGTAACAGAGCTTGTTTTAGTAGCATTGCCATTGGGTTTGTCTATTTTGGGCAAATGTAAGTTTATTCCATTATTATAACCTATGAGGTGGATAGACTGCTATTCTCCTGAATTCCACATTGGTTATACGTTGGAAAGATCTAGGGTACTTAAGTAAGGTCTATGAATTTAGATAGCACTTTTGGAGCAAGCCTTGGGTCATCGCAAATGGTATGGGAGGAACTGGTCCAATGCCTACAGGAGACTCAAGAGCCATGATTATGATGACGTCTCCTTGGCAGTGAGTGAAAGGGGAAATAGGCCAAGGCTTAAAGGATGAGAAACTGGGATACCTCTAAATCCCACATCATCTATGCCTTGGGGAGTTTTAGAGTACGTAAGTAAGTCCTTTCAATTCAAATGTCACTTTTGAGGACGCCTTGGGTCGTTACAGATAGTGCTGCTAGGATTCAGTTTAACCTATCACCTGATTGAGAAGCAGAAAGACATTAGGGGTCTTGTACTCTCCAATATTAAACACTGATCGTAAATATTCCAAGCCCCTTTGATGTGATGGCCTTAAATTTGTTATTTGGCTTTCCTTGAATAACAAACATCAAGTGAGGGGGAGAAATAATTGGAAAGAATCTTTGGATCTTTCTTTTTATTTTTTATGGCTTTGTTTAAATTTATTTTAGTATTTTTCTTGGTGCAAACTGAAAAGGATAATTGAGGTTCGCAGTTTAGGTTATTTCTGTTCCTGAAAGAAGTTAGCAATTATCACAAGCTTTTGAAGCCTGACCACCTACTATTGATTATGACCACTTATGTTTAGTTCCATTACAGTTTTTGTTGACATAAGAATCTTCCAATTTCAGGTTCCTACAAAATATCATCTGCACCGGAGACAATAAATACAGCTTATGTATTTTCTAGAAAGGACCTTTCAAGGCAAGTCAGAGATATTACCTTTTAGTTCGGAATATTGTTGTCTTAAAATGATTCATCTGTATATTATGGAATAAAAGTCCAGCCTGACATCCCTAGATTTCTAGTTGGGCATCATAGCATGATCCTATGCTTTTCAGTGTCATAACTGTCAAGCAAATGAAAGTTTGAAGGAAATTGTCTTCTTACATTTATATTCTTACGTTTCATGTTAATGCAGGCCTGCTCTACAGCTCCCTAGTGCCTGCAAACCTGTTGTAGCAGTTCGTTTCTGCCCTTTGCTCTTTAGCCTGCGGGGGTCAAATCAATGTACTCATGCTGGTTGACATTGTTATTTTGTAAAATATATTGTATCTTTGTTGGTTATTATAGTATTTTAACAGTCTTTGGTGAATCTGCAGCCGGGTTCTTTAAGCTTCCCCATCGTATTGTTTTTGCTGTGGCCACTTTAAATTCTTTGTACATTTATGACACAGAGAGTGTTCCTCCAATTGCAATCTTTGCTGGTCTTCACTATGCAGCCATAACTGACATTGCATGGTAAAATTTGTGTTAGTTTTCTGCTATTTTTTGGTGCTTATATTGATTTTGACTGCCGATAATGTTTCCTGTAAATTATATTGCTGGTACATTTTGCTGTTCAAAAGGTCACCCAACGCCCAATACTTAGGATTGTCTTCTCAAGATGGTTACTGCACGTTGGTAGAATTTGAAAATGATGAACTGGGATCACCTATCTGTTCATCAGGTTTTATATCCTTCCATTTCCTAAATATTTCATCACTTATTTTTATCCATCATTTCTTCCACTGTTTGGTTCATCATGGTTCCTGTTTCATTTTGCTCCAGAGGAAAAGAAAGTCATGCATGACAAGAACAAAAGCCCAGTTCAGAAGTCAGAGAACATGATGATTGAAGCTACTAAAAATGATAGTCTTGTCGCTGAAGATAATGGAAGAACTGTAGAAGAAAGGAATCAACAAAAAGAAGCTGAAAGGAAAGAAGAGAAAGTCATGGGTGAACAGAATAAAAGGCCAGCTGAGAAGGCAGAGGACATGGTAATTGAATCTACTGCAACTGACAGTCGTGTTGCAGCAGATAATGGAAATTCAGAAGCAGAAGGGAATCGAAAAACAGAAGTAGAAACGAAAGCAAAAGAAGTCGTTGATTTAGAGAACAGAAGTCCAGTTGAGAACCCTGAGGACATGGTAGTTGAAGTTACTGCAAATGGTAGTCTTGTTGCAGCATATGATGCAAAATCAGAAGCAGAAAGGAATGAAGGGATAACAGAATCTAAAAGCTCAATGAAGACTGCTACTGTAAATAGGCCTCCTACCAAAAGGCGTATTACACCTATGGCAATCGACCCGTGATAGCCGCCATTCTCACCTCTGTAAATTTTTTAATCAATTTAATCATTCACTTGCTGGGTGCTGATTTCTCTGCCCTTTTCAATTATAGGATTCAGTGTACTAATTACTGATGCTAGAAAGACCACCCTTCCTTCCCTGGGAAGTATAATTTCTGTTATTTCACTTTTGATACTATACGGATGTTGTAGAACCCAAATCGAATTGGAAGCCTATTGACTACTGACTAGAAAATTTCAAATTTCAATCTTATATGAATCTTGGCTAGTAAATGTGTATCCCATATAAATCTAGGCAATTGATTCATATCCAGATGATTCTTGTGGGTTTCATTTGTCTCAGAAAGTGTAGCACACCAATGGAAAATGCCTTGTGTGTGTGTGTGTGACCCAAGGATACCTGTTTACTTTTGATGGGTAATCTCTGGTTGTTAAACTGTGTATGAAAATTTAACCAGTACCATCCAGTACCGCAAGGAGCAAGAATGTACCGTTTATGTGGCAGGGGTGTGTGCATTTGCCCCTTAATAAAAAATAATAATAGATAATGCCTATTGAGAATGTCCGCCCCATTCTTTCTCCTCCCACATTTGGTTTTGTTCAATTTTAACAGAAGTTAAAAGTTACTAAGCAAACCAAACCAAACTAAACTAAACCAATAATGGACAGTTTGGTTCGGTTGGTTAGGGTGAGTTGTGCCTATGCCATATCATTTTTTCTTTTGAATTTTGTTAACCCAATTATAACAACAAAATTATATAACCCGGATTCTTTGCCTTGAATTTAACAGTGTTCTCAAGTTCAAATCTCCATGACACCTTGGCAATGTGTGAGAATCTCCCTCCTCTTACATAACTTTGACAACAACAAAAAATCATTCTAAAATTGAATTTAACACGCCATCAAACTTCAAAGTTCAATAACAACAAAAAATTTCATAACCTACTAATTTTTTCATTTTCCAGCACATCGAACATGCTAAAATTGAATTCAACATGTCATCAAGTTTCAAAACTCAATAACTAATATAGTAACAAACCAGAGATCACTAACTTCAAAGTTCTATCGAACTAAATTCAAAGTTCCATCAAACCGAGTTTGTTACCAAGTCTCTTCGTTACATTGCAATTAAATTTGCTAGAATTATAACTATCATCATCATGAAAGAAACACAGCCAGCTAAAATGACCATTCGCACATACCTGCGTCTTTTTGGTTCACATATACACATGATCATACATACACAAAATTACATCTAGGGTTCGTTTGGTGACTAGTATTGAATTGAAATGGATTTAAAGCATGTTTAAGAAAGAAATGAAATTTTTTTGATCAAGTTGAAGGTAGAAGATGGATTGCTCATCTCATCTAATCCCCACAAATATGATAGGGTAGCAACACCTTATAACTAATCCCTCCTAATCCCCCCAAATGGAAATTCCACTACCTTCATTTCCTCCTTCAATCTACCTTAAGATTTAGTGACTTATCAAATCAAATCCAATTCTAGGCACCAAATGAGCCCTTAATATTTTATTTTTAAGACCTTTCTTATTGAGAGAGGCGATCATATACGAAATGCACACACACAACAAGGATACTATGACTCGAACCCAAAACCTTTCATGAGAAAAACAATTGTTCTAAACCACTACATTTAATGAGCCCCTAGTTTTAAATCAAAACAAAACTAGCACATTAGTGAAACACAGCTAGTTAAAAATGCTAACCCATTAGTGAAACAAAACAGGCTTAGGCACTAGCCCGTTACTGTTACACCTTGCTGCACCTAACATCGTCTTCTTCACGAGTTGATGGGATAGCGCCTCTTCTTCGCAGAGCAACTGGAGATACGCAGCAGCTGCAAGCGCAAGTAAGTTCTTTAATTCTTTCTTCTTCCTCCTTCTCCTTCTTCTTCCTGTCATTTTCTATTCCAATTGTATTATTAATATCACCATTCTCTGTAATCATATAGGAAACATAACACATCTCTGAATAGCCATCTTTATACTTTAATGGGGGACTGGTACAAGCCATGGTTGCAAAACTATTGTGATATTGTCTCTTCCGTTTTCACATCAAATTTCAATTTTTGGGTTCAGTTCTATTTTCCAAGGGTTAGCTTTGTTATGAAATTTAACCATTTGCAACTTGCATGCCAAGACCATTGAAGTCTTGTGCTGCTACCTAAGCACCCAAGTAGTCTCCTAGGCAAGAACAAAATTTATGTTTCATATGATTGTTTGTTAAACCTGCCTGTCATGCACTTTTGAGTACAATTCCATAAAACAACTAATTGTTGAAAATGTCTCTTTAAAATATTAAGTTGTATGGCGTGCATTTTTTTAATGGATAATCTGTAACAGTGAGTTCAATACAATGACTTACTTGTTTATATATGATTTCCCTTAATTAGGTAGCTTTATCTGCATCTAGAGAACATTAGGATATCATGCACCAATATATCCAGTTGGATATTCCTATATTCTTATATGATTAAGTTGCAGTTGTAGTTTAAATCTTGGTTTTCCTCTAGTGCTCTGAGCCCCTCTGTTTTTGTCTGTATGTTCAATTTCAAAGCTTAAGCTTCGGCTCCAATGGCAGCCTTCGACCATATCAAGGACATGTACGATGTTGCTCTAAAGCCTCGTCTGTTGCACACGCTCATTAGAGACCATGTCCCCGACAATAAGCACCCTTTCGGGAGCCCATTGGATCTGTCGAAGGTAGTGTACACAATCAAAACTCACACCTCCTTCGCGAGTCTGTACAAGATCTGACTTTTCAAAAGCTAATCATAATTGGAGATCCACCATTGATTCCTGTGTCAACCACTTGATGGAGCTCATTGTCAATGACATTGTATGTACCAATTAATTTTTGACAAATTCTATTTATTTAAAGTCACTTGTTTTAGTTTTTTATTTTTGATAAATTTGATTTTCTTGAGTTTATTGAAACTTGGGTTTAGTTTTTAGTGTCACTTTGAGGAAGCCAAACCAGTAAAGTTGTTCTAGGATGATCATCTTTTATAATTAACAGTCATGACTTGAGGCGTAATTATAGTTTTATTTTACACAATGTCAGGGTGAGGGAGAAAAAGACACTATCTGTTTGATTTCTACCAAGAGTTTTGCTTGCCTTCCTTTTGAATTCATTTTATCATATTCTTCTGTTCTAGCCAGATAATGTTGGGCGGGAATTTGTTTGCTGGGGGTGACTTGTCAGGAATGCAGCTACGAGCGTTTCTTAGAATCATACTCTGGTTGGTTCAGAAGCTCTACCACATATCAGGTAGCCAAATGAATGTTTGGTTTAAATAATGATAATTATGTTATGGTTAAACTGTTGCTTCTCAAAATAATAATAATAAAATTTAAGGACACTCTCTAAAATCACTGCCTTGCCAACTGTGATTTTGATTCTACAAGCACCAGGTACCTGGGTTCAATTAAAAAAAAAAAAAAAAAAAAAAAAAAAAAAAAACAACGGGCTTGTAGTTCGAGTGGTTAAGCATTTCCTTGCACTTGAGGCCTAGGTTCGATTCCCCACTTCTCCCTCCCCCAGTATTGCTTGTATTATATAATATATAAAAGGATTTTCCTTTATGTAATAAAGGATAAAGATAAAGAGAAGCCATATATACATTAAATAAATCCTAATATCCTAATGATCTTCCAGGAACCCTTATGTCTGGGCTCTAAAGCTTAGAATTGAATCTCATTATATTTAGTTGGGATAATCCCATATGTTATATTAGATGTTTTGAGAATTCTCCCCAAGCATTTCATTATGTGCACCCTGGTTGGATCACATGGATCCTTTGTTGTGATTTGTTTTTGGAGTCTTGGAATAGCTCAGACTGCAGTTGTGTAGGTTTTGATGCTGCCTTCTGGTTTCTTCATCTTTTGAACTTCTGGTTTTGTTGTGAATAAGTTGACTTGTATGGTAAACTCTCTGCACCACCCCCTTTTATTTTGAATAATCTGTGAAATTAACTTTAATGCTGCGTTTCTTTTCCAAACAGCCTACGGAAAATTTCTCAATTTGTGAAGGTGGCCTCTTGTGCTTCAATGTCAGATCTCATTTCAAGGTTGTATATCATATAAATGTAAATGTTCGCCTCACACAAAGACACAGTAGGGCACAGTAGTACATGAAATTGTTTGATTATACATGTAGTTGTTAGGATTTTGGCTTGTCAAATATGTCTTAGTTTGGTTTAGGATTGTTTTAGGAAAATTAGAGGTATACCAATTCTTGTCCTAGAGGGATTAGGAAAGAATTTCAGTTTTCCTTATTCATTTAGGTTTGGATTTCTAGAAGTCTATTAGGATTTGGATAAGTGTAATTTCCTAATCCACTTAGGAATAGGAATCCAATCAGCCTTGGGACATGTAAGCCAACTCTATATCTATAAATAGGGTGTGGCAAGGCTTATTTTTAAGAGAGGAAAAACAACCAGAGACAGCCAAGAGTTTTGAGATTAGTTCTAGGGGTTGCAAAAGTTTTGTAATCTCTATTATTAATCAAAGGAGCGGTGATTTCTCTACCTAGAGAAATCACAACTGGACGTAGGCAAAAGTTCTGCCGAACCAGTATAATTCTTGTGTGTTTCTAAGTGTTTTAAATATTTGCTAGTTTAGTCTATTTGCCGTTGGTTACATCAAAGAACAAGATCTAGAAGGCGAGTTATTTAACAAGTGGTATCAGAGCCTAGGTTAGGGGTTCTACGATGTCTAAAGGGAAGATGAATGCGGATCTAGGACTTGCGTTAAAGCCCTTTGACGGCAAGGATGACTTCACGGATTGGCAAAGGATGATGAAGAACGTACTAATACAGCAAGATTTGGATGATGCACTCAGCGGTGAGAAGCCGACAGGCATGACAGACGCAACATGGACCAAGGTTCTCAAGAAGGCCAAGAGTTCCATCGAGATCCATCTCACAAGATCAGTTCGGTCACACATCACTGAAAAGATGACTGCCCAAGAAGCATGGGAAAAGTTGGAGAATGTTTATATGGGCAAAACCGGGTCCAATAAACTTTTTCTAAAGGATGAACTATTCGGACTTCGACTGGAAGAAGGAGGTGATATTGAAGATCACGTATGCAGGTTCCAGAATTGCATAACTAATCTTCAAAGGTCGAAGAAACTTACAAAGATGATGATATGGCTATCATCTTGCTGAGGTCTCTACCTTCGTCTTTCAAGCACTTTCGAACAACTCTAATGTTTGGAAAAGAGTCCCTGAAGCTTGAAGACGTGATTCAAGCTCTTCAGTCATATGCTAAACTAGATGATATAACTGAAAGCTTTCAAGGCCTTTATGCCAAAGGCAAGAGAGGGGGCGGGAAAAGACAAGGAAGACAAAACGCAACAGAGGTAGGTCAAAATCCAAGAAGAAAAAGGAAAAGAAGGAAGGTTCTTCGAATGTGGTTTAGCCGATCATTGGAAGAGGAACTGCAAGATTTGGAAAGAGAAGAAAGCCAAGAGGGAAGGAAGCTTAGGTTTAGCTAGTGCAGTCACCGAGCATGAGAGTGACGGGGAGCTTCTTTCAGTAACATCAGGCTCCAAGGCTTTCACAAATTGGATTTTGGATACCGGATGCACTTTTCATATGTGTGCAGTAAGAGAATGGTTCGATACTTACAAAGAAGTCAGTAGCGGGGAAGTTTTAATGGGGGACGATTCTTCATGTCCTGTAAAAGGAATCGGCACTGTTCGAATCAGAATGTTTGAAGATGATACGAGTTTTGGGGAACGTTAGATATGTCCCCTAGACTAAGAAAGAATTTGATTTCCTTGGGTACTTTAGATGAGGCCGGCTATGGGTATGAGTCTAAAAAGGGAAAGACTCAGGGTAGCCACAGGATCACTGGTGGTAATGTGAGGTGACCTACAACCCAATAAGTTGTATAAGTTAATTGGGACCACCATAGTCGGGGGAGCAGCTGTTTCTGTAAATCAAGGTATAGAAGACAAGACTGAACTCTGGCATCATAGGCTCGGGCACATAAGTCAGAAAGGGTTGCAAGAATTACACAAGCAAGGCCTGTTGGAAGGCGTGTCATCTTGCAAACTGGACTTTTGTGAATATTGTGTTCTTGGAAAGCAAAGGAAGGTATCATTCACGAGTAGCAGTGCAAATAACCGAACCAAGGAGCAACTCAGCTATATTCACTTAGATGTTTGGGGCCCTGCACCAACCAAATCAAATGGTGGAGCCAGGTATTTTGTTACTTTCATGGATGATTTTTCTAGGAAGGTTTGGGTTTATTTCATGAAGCAGAAATCCGAGGTTTTTGCAAAGTTCAAGGAATGGAAAACAGAAACCGAGAATCAAACTGGAAGAAAGATCAAGTACCTAAGAAGTGACAATGGAGGTGCTATACAAGTAATGAGTTTACCGATTACTGCAAGCAAGAAGGCATTACAAGGCACTTCACAGTAAAGAAGAATCCCCAACAAAATGGAGCTGCTGAGAGGATGAACTGAACTCTCATGGAGAGAGAGAGGAGCATGCGATTTCATGCAGGATTGCCTGATAGTTTTTGGGCAGAAGCTGTTAATCATGCAAGTTATTTGATTAACAGATCACCATCTACAGTTCTCGGTTTTAAGAGTGCAGAAGAGGTATGGTCTGAGAAGCCGGTGGACTATTCCAAGCTCAGGGTATTCGGCTGTAGTGCTTATGCACATATTCCAAGTGATGAAAGGTCCAAGCTCAAACCAAAGTCTACACATTGCATATTCTTAGGTTTTGAGAAAGGAGTGAAGGGTTTCAAGCTTTGGGATATCAACAACAGGAAAAAGGTTGTCAGCCGAGATGTTGTCTTTGATGAGACAACCATGCCTCTGAATAAAGTCGAGAGCAGTAGGGAGAAGAAAGACGATGCTGAAATTGAAGCAACAAAGATTCCGTTAATCAGTTCAAACGAAGAAGAAGCTCAGGTGGAGCAAATTGAGCAAGATGCCGAATCTGATGGTTTTGAGGAAGAAGATGAGCATCAGCATCGTTCACCAGTTAGGAATCAAGTGGAGCAAGAAATGGGGCACATTGAAGGCACTCTAATCCGCCAGACATCCCAAAGGGTTAGAACTCCAACCAACAATCCACCTGCATTCCAGATATGCATAGCACTGGACAAACCTAATTGGAACAGAAGAAACTTGACAGGTTTGGGTTTGACCAAGACGAAGTTAATTTTGCTCTCAACATTAGTCAAGGAGATCCAACTACTTATCGAGAAGCTATAGCAAGTGATGAGCGAGATAGTTGGATAAGTGCTATGACAGAAGAAATGGAGTCTCTTTACAAGAACTCTGTTTGGGAGTTGGTTCCTAAGCCCAAAGACAGAAAGCTAGTTGGATGCAAGTGGGTGTTTAGGAAAAGGAAGGACTACATGAACAAGATGCCGTGAGATTCAAAGCAAGGCTCGTGGCTAAAGGGTTCTCACAAAAGGAAGGGGTGGATTATGATGAGATCTTTTCACCCGTAGTTAAGCATACTTCTATCAGATTGCTTTTAGCAATGGCAACTCAGCATGACATGGAGATTGAGCAGATGGATGTGAAGACAGCGTTTCTTCATGGGGATCTAGAGGAGACAATTTTCATGGCTCAACCAGAAGGGTTTGTTGAATATGGGAAAGAAAACCTAGTATGTCAGCTAAAGAAGTCCCTGTATGGCCTGAAACAGTCTCCAAGACAGTGGTACAAGAGGTTCGATTACTTCATGCTGAAAATCAATTTTAGAAGATGTTTATATGATTGTTGTGTGTACTATCATGTGTTCCAAGATGGGATGATCATATTGCTATTGTTATATGTGGATGACATGCTAATCGCTTGTCAAGACAAGTCTAGAATTCAAGACTTGAAGAAGATGTTGAGCAAGGAGTTTGACATGAAGGATCTAGGTGCAGCACAGAAGATCCTTGGCATGGAAATTCAGAGAGATAGGACCGCTGGAAGGATTTGGATATCACAAGCCAAGTATATTAAGAAGGTTCTTGAGAAGTTCAACATGCAAGAAGCAAAGGTGGTTTCGACTCCTTTGGCAGCTCACTTCAAGTTAAGTGGGCAACAATGTCCTAAGTCCGAGGAAGAGCAGCAAGTAATGAAGAAGGTTCCTTATGCTAATGTCGTGGGCTGCCTTATGTATGCAATGGTATGCACACGTCCAGACATAGCTCAAGCAATCAGTGTCGTTTCCAGATACATGGCAAATCCAGGAAAGCAACATTGGGATGCAGTCAAGTGGATTTTGTGTTATTTGAAGGGTTCTTGGCGACAAAGGATTATGTTTGAGAAGCAAAAAGAAAATGCAAGGGTGTTGGGATATGTGGATGCTGATTATGCAGGGGACTTGGACAAGAGAAGGTCAACTTCTGGTTATGTGTTTACATGCGCAGGAGGACCAATCAGTTGGAGGGCACTATTGCAACCAATTACAGCTTTGTCGACCACAGAGGCAGAGTATATTGCATTGGCCGAAGCTGGAAAGGAAGCAATTTGGCTTAATGGCTTGGTAAGTCAAATGGGAATCACCCAAGATTGTGTGAAGCTGAAGTGTGATAGTCAAAGTGCCATTTACTTGGCAAAGAATCAAGTTTTTTCTGGAAGATCAAAGCACATTGAAGCAAGATATCATAGAATCAGAAATTGGGTGGAGTCTAAGGAGATTTGGATTGAAAAGATTCATACGGATGACAATGCCGCAGATTTCTTTACAAAGATAGTGTCGGCCAAGAAGTTCAAGCATTGCTTGAACTTGATCAATCTCGTTGATTGATTAAAGTGGAGCACCTCCTCACTTGAGGTGCAATGAGGCAAGAAGAAGATTGCCAAGGTGAAGACTCTTGAAGATTTCCAGAACTGCTTCAAGGAGGTTTAAAGATACTCTGGGGGTGCAACGATCAAGACTTGGTTTGACTCACCAAGGTGGAGATTGTTAGGATTTTGGCTCGTCAAATATGTCCTAGTTGGTTTAGGATTGTTTTAGGAAAATTAGAGGTATACCAATTCTTGTCCTAGAGGGATTAGGAAAGAATTTCAGTTTTCCTTATTCAATTTAGGTTTGGATTTCTAGAAGTCTATTAGGATTTGGATAAGTGTAATTTCCTAATCCACTTAGGAATAGGAATCCAATCAGCCTTGTGACATGTAAGCCAACTCTACATCTATAAATAGGGTGTGGCAAGGCTTATTTTTAAGAGAGGAAAAACAGCCAGAGACAGCCAAGAGTTTTGAGATTAGTTCTAGGGTTGCAAAAGTTCTGTAATCTCTATTATTAATCAAAGGAGCGGTGATTTCTCTACCTAGAGAAATCACAACTGGACGTAGGCAAAAGTTCTGCCGAACCAGTATAATTCTTGTGTGTTTCTAAGTGTTTTAATATTTGCTAGTTTAGTCTATTGTCGTTGGTTACATCAAAGAACAAGATCTAGAAGGCGAGTTATTTAACAGTAGTCAGATCCCTAGGTCTGAATCAAGTACCCTCTCTCTCTCTCTCCTCTCTCTCTTTCTCTCTCTCTCTCTCTCTCTCTCTCTCTCTCTCCTCTCTCCTCTCTCTCTCCTCTCTCTCTCTCTCTCTCTCATGCACAAACTGATGAATTGCTTAAATTTTTGGAGTCATATATGTTGTCTTGCTCGTTAATACCAAACTAATTTTAACAATGATAATTGATATTATTTGTACTGGAATTTGTTATCATCGTTGTTTATCTGTATTATTTGAAGTCTATATGGGTTAGTAGCCAAATTTTCATTGGGAGTCGTAAATGTCATCTTGCTCTTAAAAAACCAATTAATAATGATAATTGGCATGAATAAGTTCTACTGGAATTTGTAATCCTCATGTTGATCTATAGTTTGTGAAGGGTATATAGGTTAATAACGGTGCTAGGTCCTCAGTTGTGAAGCTTACTCTTTTTTTAGGTTCGGTGGATTTGCTAATGTGAAAAGGGATGAAGCTGCTCATGCTGGGAAGCTCATTCAGCAAGGCATTCAACCAGTCTTATAATTATTAGATGATGATCATTCAGAAGTTGTTTGGGTAAGTTGCTTAATCTTTTCTTTAAATAATATATGACTAATCCACTCTTTTATTTAGCGGCTAAAGAATTGCACTTTTTCTTTTCTTTCTGTGGACAAATTTTTAATGAATTTGCGTTTGATTATGAAATGGAGTTGTTTACCCATTTTAGATTTGAGCCTGTTGAAGGCTAAGTAAAATTCCCCATTGATCTTTTAACCATTAATGGTCTTTAGATCAACTTTCTTGCATGTTAGCGTGCCATTGTTAGCAATTAAAACCCTAACAGACTTGAATAATTTAAAATAGTTGCGCCCGAAATATTTGGCTTTAAACAAATGATTGTGATTTTAGGTGGGGAAACTTCCCAAGAAAGTCATTTTCTATGTTGGTGAGGACTTCTCAATTTATCTAAATAAAACCAGTGAGTACAATGAAATACAAGTGTTGGAAAATAAAGACAACTGAGTTCAAGGAGAACTACTTGAAATATAGTAAATTAAAGGAATTGCCAAGTCCGGAAATACATCAGAACATTGGACTTTGATTTCTGCTTGAAACGTCATTGCAGAGACGTCTGTTGGTTAGGTTGGACTGGACGTATTGGTATTGTTCTAGGCTAGACTGGATTGTACTAAACTGATAGTACCTTCAACTAACTGTAGTTTAGCTGGAAATCGATACCTACGACCGTGTATGGGTAGAGCTTTCTTCAGGTTAGAGCCAAAAGTGGCTGGGATCATGAGCTGGAATTCTTAGCAGAATAATAAGGATAGTTTTGGAGGTCCTTAGAACCTTTGCTGGCTTTGCTTATGTATTCGAAGGCTTGAGTGATTTGTTTAAATAATTGAACTTGATCAGTTTGATTGAGTATTTTTTTTATTTGATTTGTTTGGTTGGGGGTTGGTTGTCCTGTGGTCCGTTGAGTGAAAGCCAAAAAATCGAAACCGAACCAAACCAAACCACCAAGTTTGGTTAACTGAAGTGGTCAGTTTTCATCAATTATGGTATGGTTTTAGTTTTCAAAATAGCCAAATTGAAGCCTACAGTTCGGTGTTCGGGTTGAGCCCAAAACCGAACCAACCCAAACCGAGCCTAGGCCTAGTTTGTACAATTGCTTTTGCATGAGCCGAAAGTCACATGCAATCATCCAATCAAGAGAGTAAACAATATTTGTTTATTGAAAGAACCAAGTGGATGGCTAGTCAAGGGGAGGATTTAAATAAGAATTAAAACACTACCAACGACAAGGACTGAATAGACAAGAAGTAGTATTATCTTTTGGTTTCTTTATTATAAAAGAATGTGGGTGCATCATCCAAGTGGAGAAATAATGATAGTTGGCTCACCAAAATATCAAGAAGGCAGCAAAGATGGATCTGCATGCAATTCCTTGAAGATGGCAGCTGTCAGTTTTGGTTGTCTTCAAACCTCTATAAATGTAGAAGGCTCCCAACGGACCAAAAGACCACCAAAGCCCAACCAAACAAATAAAGTACAAAAACTACTCAGTCAAACTGATCAAGTTTAATGATTTAAACAAATCATTCAAGCCTTTGAATATAGAAGCAAAGCCAGCAAAGGTGCCAAGGACCTCCAAAGCTATCGTTAAGATTCTGCTCAGAATTCCAACTCACGATCCCAACCACTTTTGGCTCCAACCTGAAGAAAGCTTTGCCAATACACATTCTTTGGTATTGATTTCTAGCTAAACTCCAGTTAGTTGAAGGTACTATCGATTTAGTACAATCTAGTCCAGCTTGGAATAGTACTAATATGTCCAGTCCAGCCTAACCAACAAACGTTTTTGCAATGGCGTTTCAGGCAGACATCAAAGTCCAATTTTCTGATGTCTTTCCAGACTTGGCTGTTCCTTTAATTTACTGTATTTCAAGCAGTTCTCCTTGAACTTGTTTGTTTTTATTTCAAACACATGTATTTTATCGTACTCACCAGTTTTATTTAGATAAATTGTGAAGTCTGAAGCATAGAAAATGACTTGGCACCTTTGCTGGCTTTACTTATGTATTCGAAGGCTTGAATGTTTTGTTTACATCATTGAACTTGATCAGTTTGATTGAGTAGTTTTTGTATTTTATTTGTTTGGTTGTCCTTTGGTTCGTTGGGAGCCTTCTATAGAGGTTTGAAGGCAACCAAAACTGACAACTACCATCTTCAAGGAATCTCACTTCAATCCCATCTCTGTTGCCTTGATATTTTGGTGCACCAGCTATCATTATTTCTCCACTTGGATGATGCACTCATATTCTTTTATAATAAAGAACTAAAAGATAATACTTCTTCTTTTATGTTTAGTTCTTGTCGCTGATAGTTTTCTAATTTTTATTCGCTTCCTCCTCTTGGCTGGCCATCCACTTGGTTTTT